AGCGGCACCCGGCACCCCCTCCCCTCGGCTTCCCGGGGGTACTTTCCAGCACACGCCCCCCGCCCCGCATGTCGCCTACCCCACCCAGCTCTCTGCGGCGCCCGCTCCTTTCTTCCCTCTCCCGGTCCATCAGCGCCCCGGCGCGCGTCCTGGGCCGGGGAGGGGGAAGCTGCTGGAGGGGAGGGTGGGCACAAACACAAGAGTCTTCCAGGGAGGCCGGGAAGGAAACACCCCAACTGAAATGAACCCTCCTCCGGGCCGCGGAGGTTCGCAGGGCGGAGGCGCAGCCCCCCTAACCATGGCAGCATCACTACTGTCTGCCTCCCAGCTCCCTATTGTTCGCACTTTGCAAGGACCAGGAACCTCGCCCAAAGAAAGGAGACCGGGGCGAGGCGTTTCGGGTGGCTACCTGCCATTCTTCTCTCGCACCGTGCACGCAGGGGCCTCGGTGCGTGTGAAGGCACACGCGCGCGCACACGCGCACACACACTAGGAAGCCTGGATCACGCCCTCCTCGCCCTCCGCCCCTCCGCACTTCCTCCTGTCAAAACGCGGCGCTCGGCCCTCCCATCCCTTCGAGCTCTGGGGCAAAAGCAGGCTTTGCAACTAACCAGCAATTTGGCAAATAAAAAACCCCCACTAACGTCATATCTACCGGGGTGCAAGAACGGCCACACAGACCTGAGATTCTGCCCATGTCGCCCCATTTTGCAAACCGTTATTCGCCCCCCAACGGAGGGGGGGCGGGGAGCCCCACTTTATTAGACCTGGGGAAATCACGATCGGGGTGGCTACCCCGGGCTTTATTGTTCACTCTTCCAGGAGCCCGAGCTGACAAGCCCCTGCCCAGCTGAAACCGAGCCTGTGCGGTGGCTCCAAGGAGCCAAGGCATCCCCTGCTGCCCGCCATCGGGGACGGAGCGCTTCCCATCTCCATGGGCAGTCGCAGCGTCCCTGGGAGCCAGCGGCCCCGCTTCCAACGCCCCGGCACGTCAAGTGGAAGGGCGGGCGCGCTGGAGGGGCGCAGGGCGCTCGCTGCGGGGGGAGGCAGCCCGGGTCCACCGCAGCCCGAGAGGGCGCGGGTCCGGCAGGACAGCCAGGGCGATGCGCTCCTTAATCAGCTCCAGGAAAATGAGCACCCTTAGCATTCTCCGTACAATCGCCCGAAATAACAGTGTCCCTCGGGAGAGGAGTAGGGAGATGAAGGCAATGATCGAATCGTATTAAGAAGAAGAATTGTTTTGAAATGTACCTGCAGTTCCCAGGAAAAACAAAGTCCAGATGAGATCCGTAGTTTGCAGCATTGTAATCTGCTGGCCGGGAAGGGTGTTCTTGCCGCGGTAAATTCTGTGCCCCGGCTCCTTGCAGCGAGTGTGGACGGCGGTAGAGCAACAGACCTAGAGGCAGACAATTGCCAGGCTGAGTATGATTATTTTTGCAGAATTGTTTCCTGCCAGCGGCTGCCGTGCTGCGTTCACGCGCTGAGGGGAGAATGAGTGACAGTCCCAGCCTCAGCACACTCGCAACTCGAAGATCCTTGCGCTGGCCCGGGTTCGCTTTGATGGAACTTGGGATGGGAGCGCGGGGCGGAGGGCGGGGGTGAGAACCTCACTGTGTCCTTCCACCACGCCGGCCACAAATAGTGCCGAACATCAAGGAGGTAAGAGACCCGGGAGGCAGATGCGGCCGCCTGCAAAACGCGGCCTGGAGCAGCCTGCCCGAGGAAGCGGGCTCTTTCACGCACAGTCCTATAGGCAGAGCTGGGATTTCTTTTTTCCACACTTCTCCCCCCACGCCTCCGGTCCCTCCTGCCACCAGCCTTCCCTAATCAGGAGGCTGGATATTTTAATAACTAGCAAATAATAAAAACAAAATCGTAGGTGTCGTTAGGTTTTCAACGTTTTTTAATCTCTGTTAGAGATCCTAAAATCCTTGAAACACAAGGAAAGTCTAGGATTGTTTTTTTATTGTTGTTTTGTTTTTTTTTTAGGTACAGGAAATTAGAAATTAGGAGAGGGATAGGGATTGCTATGGCAGGGTTTTGTTTGTTTGTTGTTTATACTGGCCATGAAGTTTGCTCTCCCACAGGGAAGCAACAGAGTTCAGGGGGAAGAGGTGGGAAGCAATTTAAGTTAGAAACAAATGCAGATGTTTAGAAGGAATTTCCAGAAATAACTGAAGGAAACGGTTTAGGAAGGGTGAAATCTGTGGTCTCTTCATGAAGATCCCCAAGTCCCGTTTGTGTAGGTTTTATGGTGTAGGCACGGTGTTAACTAGTATTTTCTTGCAAGGACACACAACCTCAATTCTTGAAGATATTAATGTAGAGTGTCACTGAGGCACCAACACAAAGGGTTCAATTACTCTTACAGCTGCAATTTGGACAGAAGAGGATGGGGAAGCAGGGTGAAAATAAACATGTTCCAGAACCTGAGCAAGCCTTGACTGTTTACGGAACCAAAGGTGAGGGGGAATCAGGAGCTCCTTTGTACAGGCCTGGACAGCCTGATAGCCCAGCACAGTGGAGCCCTCTTAGGGGAAGGCTGCCCACGTGCCAAGCACCAATGCATCAACATCCCCGCATATTCACCTTTTCTTTGAAGGGCAGGCCCTCCACTGCTGTGCCCTCTTTAAAACCCATCTTCTGCTGACCAGCTGGAGCAGCTGGCATCTCCTCTCCATGTACCAGACCCAGCAGGGCACACAGCATACTGTGACTTCCACAACCCCAAAAAGTTCTTCTTGCAAATCAATCTTCCACAATGTTTACTTTTGTAACAGTTAGCTCATACCAATTATAAGTAATTCATAAATACAGAAAAGTAGAAAAGAAGGAACTAAATACCAAATACAGCTGCATTTTGGATGGAAGATTCCAGAGATACTCACATATTTTCTCAGTCTTTTGTATAAGCATATTATTTTTTAGTTGACAATAATAGCAACTTGAATCCTGTGTATTTTCCTCGACATTTCACTATAAGCATTTCCCCAGGGCAGTAAAAAGGGTTTTGAAATCTTTTTAATTATATAGTATTTCTCCATATCACGGTTATGCTTCTCCATTGTTGGATATTCAGGTTGTTTCCAGAGTTTGATAATAGAAATAATTCTTTTTAACACCTTTTAATAAATAGTTATTGAATATTATTATGTTTAGGCCTGTGCTGGGTACACCGGATTATATAGATTTTTTTAATGGTTGCTGCATTTAAGCATCTTTGACTTCAGATATGAGCTTATGCTAATGTGTAAAATTACCATATTAAACTTATGTAGATAAGTATTAGACTCTTGCCTAAAAAAGAGGTTTTGATATAGGCAAAAATATAGAGAACAGGCTTGAGGAAAAAGGAAAAAAAAAAATGAAGGCTGGGATACTCAAAATATTTATAATTTTTTCTAACCTATTCTGAACTTTTACCGAGTGAGAAACACAACTTTCTCTGCAAACCTCCATTCTTATAGCTCATGTCTTATAGTAGAATTAAAAATTTCTCACTATTTTTCTCCCCAAATGTTCCTATTTTTAGCTCTTCAATGTAAGCAGGTGTGGAAATCCTATCTCACTTCCACATTACTGAATTTCTTTTCTCTCTCCCTCTCTCCTTCTTTGGACACTCTAATTCTGAGATGTTCAAGGGACATCCAAATGGAGATGTGCAGAAGACAGGCAGATAGAGCGGACCCCAGAGAACATCAATGTTTAACTTCTAGGCAGAAGAACTTGCCAAAGCAATAGTGAAAATGCAGTCAGAGACACGGAAAGAGAATTGAAACGTTATAATGACCAAATCAAAAGAAGAAAGTTTTGAAATGGTCAATTAAGATGATGATTTACAAGTTTCCTGGATTTGACCATTGGAAAGCCAGTAGTGGTCTCTGAGAGAGCATGCTTCCATGGACTGGTGGGGAAGGAAGTCCACTGTCCCAGGAGTAGCTTGTCCAAGAAGGAGAGAAGCGGGGTTAGACCACTCTTTTGAGGAGCAGTGTGATAGGGAAAGGTTTTATTGTTCTCTTCTCTTTCAACATGAGGATTTTGTTGTTAAATTATAAAGTTAATTAAATCAGTAGCTAACACCCCACTCCTCACCACCAAAACATTATGGTCTAATTTAGACTACTTGAAAAATGAACCACTTAAGGATTCTTTTCTGGGTGTTGAAAAGGAGACCCCAGGCCTGATCCCAGAGCTAACAGATATCCCAGGAACTTTACTTCACATTTGACATAAGCAAAATGCATTCAGGAAAACACAGCAGCCTAAGATCCATCAAAGCAAGAGACAGGAGAGACTGGAAATATGGAGACCTGCCCAAAGACTGAGGACAGGGAAGTGTGAGGATCAGAAAGTAAAATTAAAACCACAGAGCTACAGAGTAAAAGCCTCTAGGAAGCCCCCAGAACTTTCTCCTAGCCTCTCATATCCCAGAACTTGTTGATGCCAGAAATGACTGCCAAGTTCTACTGCACGGTGGGGCTGAGGAAACGGACAAGTTTCCCTTCGAGTCAAGGCTGGCTCCGGTGCTGGGTAAGGATAAGTGGACACTCATCAGCAGATTCTGCTGAATGGTGCTGGGATCCCCAAGGCAGAGGCAGGAGATAGGGATCAGCATAGAACCACTGCTTCTTTTGGGTTGTGCACTGCACAACTGGAAGGCGCCTTTTGAATGAATCCCTCATCAAATACTTAAATCCTTGGGGTGACAGTTTTTCTAGTAGGTGGAAGAAACAAATTGAGAAAGCGGTGCTGTTTTCTCATCCTTCCTTCTCCCTTCCTCCTTCTTTCCTTTTCCTTCCTTTACTTCTTTCTTTTATTTTTCAAGAAGTTTTTAAAGGTTGGAAAGAAGGAGAAGTTGGGCTGCAGTGTGGGCACAAGGAAGACTGGGTCAGCCCCTTGGGAGCTGTGAACTGGTTGCAATCACCTCACATTGAAGAGTCCCCAATTTAGGGAATGAAACCTGACCCCACTGCAGCTCTCTTCAGCCAAGGGCAGTTTTTGGAGACTAATAGCTGATCATGTCCCAGCATCTGGGTGATTATGACCCAGTCCTGAAAGTAGAATCTGGAAGTTTACCACAGCATCCATTACCCAATTTTAGCTGGAAATCAAAATATAATCCCATAGAAAGTTCAATATTTCTTTTTACTGTGGTAAAATATACATAACATAAAATTTACTATTTTAACCATTTTTAAGTGTGCACTTCTGTGGCATTAAACACATTCATATTGTTGTGCAATCTTCACCATGATCCATCTCCAGAACTTTTTCATCTTCCCCAACTTTGTAATCCAGTAAGTGATAACTTTTCATTCCCTCTCCTCCCCCAGCTCTTAGTTACCAACATCCTACTTTCCTTTTCTTGAACACTTATCACACCATACAAGAAGAAACATATATTTGTCCTTATGTGACTGTCTTATTTCATTGAGCATAATGTTTTCAAGGTTCTTCTAAGTTGTAGCTTGTATCAAATTTTCCTTTGCTTGTACATACCACATTTTGTTTAGCCATTCATTCATCAATGGACATCTGGGTTTCTTCCACCTTTTGTCTATCATAATTAATGCTGCTATGAACATGGGTATACAAATATATCTTTGAGTCTCTGCTTTCATTCTTTGGGTATATCCCAAAGTGGAATTGCTGGATAGTAAGGTAATTTTAAATTGATTGATTTTTTTTTTGGGGGGGGGGGATTGCCATACCATTTTCCACAGTGGCTGCATCATTTTGCATTCCCGCCAACAATGCACATGAGTTCTGATTTGTCCACATTCTTGTCAACACTTCTTTTCTCTCTCTCTCTCTCTCTCTCTCTCTCTCTCTCTCTCTCTCTCTCTCTCCTTTTTTTTTGATTTTTTTTTTTTTTTTGATAGTAGTCATCCAAATATATGTAAAGTGGTATCTCATTGTGTTTTTGACTTGTATTTCCTAATGTCTAGTAATCTTGAGCACCTTTTCATGTGCTTATTGGCCATTTAGATATTTTCTTTGGAGAAATGCCTATTCGAATTAGTTGTCCATTTTTTAAATTGGTTATGTTGTTTTTGTTTTTGGTTTTTGTTCTTACTAGTAAGTTGTAGAAGCTCTTTATGTATAAGGATACCAACCACTCATCAGCTATATGATTTACAAATATTTTCTCCCATTCCATGGGTTGCCTTTTCACTCTTTTGACAGTGTCTCATGCTACACAACTCTTTAATTTTAGTGAATGCCAACTTGTCAATTTTTCCTTTGGTTGCTTGTACTTTGGTGTCATATCCAAGAAATCATTGCCTAATCCAATGTCCTGAAGATTTTCCCCTAGATTTTCTTTTAAGAGTTTTATAGTTTTAACTCTTACATTTAGGTCTTTGATCTATTTTGAGTTAATTTTTGTATATGGGTCAGGTAAAGGTCCAATTTATCTTTCTTTCTTTTTTTTCTCATGTGTATATCTAGTTTCCATAACCATTTCTTGAAAAGACTTCCCTTTCCCTAATAAATGGTCTTGGTATCTTTGTCAAAAAAATCATTTGACCATATATGCAAGTGTATATTTCTGGGCTTTCTATTCTATTACATTGGTCTACAATCAGTCTATCTTTATGTAAATACCACACTGTTTTGATTAACATAGCTTTG